ACTGAAGAAAATGGTTAAAAGTCAGAAGAACTGCGCGCAGCATGACGGCCCGCAATGTTGAAGCAATCAGCAATCCAGCAGTAGGCCACTAGATCCAGCCGCTCTGCCTTCCTCGCCGCGGTATCACGCAAAATATGGTAATCACAAGATGGGTTAGAGAGCTTGCTTACGGTTTTTTTTTCAAAATCGTAAGCTACAAGTGGTTGAAAAATATGGAAAATACGCATCCTAAAGTGGGCGCAGCGACGGCTATTCGCAGGTTTTCAGTAGAGTGACATGGCTTTGACAGACACCATTAGTAAAATGCACTACATGGAGAACAATCCCCCAAACATCCAATCGCAAAAGGCGCAGGGTGAGTTATTTTTGCAGATTTGTCCTAGTCAGCTGCATAGCACCGGAGTCACTGAGGGTCAATACAGACCTATGAACTGGTCAATACGAAGAAAAGTGAATATAACAGGAAAAAAGTATAGAGTCAGAAAAAACCAGATAAACGAGTGAAATGAAAGGAGTGACATTAGACGAATGGGAAGGAAAAGGACCGACAATGCCAACGTGCTTGCAATGTGAAACCTTGTGAAATCACTGTTTCACTACAGAGATCCCTTTCGTTATCAAAGCATTCTCAACCAGTTGAATTCTCTGGTTAAGCTCTAATTTCTGAAGGGTGTCAAGAGATTCACAATAAGTTTTAAACTCACTTCATCGCATTATGCATTACTTCTAAACAAATATCGCATGCCAGGAGTGACTCGTCGAAGAAGCATGTGACTTTTGACGTTTCATTCGCATCATGAATAACTTTTGAAGACATAAATCGATCTGGATCTTCTCGACGGGCCACCGAGGTTTTCTTTTTCGGGGCCTGCGAACGGCGAGCCTGAAAATATCAAATTAACAGTTTGAACAGAGTAACTTATGTGGGTGTTTGTAATCTGACGCAGCAGTCCTGCGTCTCTAGCATGCTACGTTGGAGCTTGTGTTTTGTTATTCACGCGCAGAAACCGCAGTTTCGTATATGCGTCACTGTCCATGTCCCAATCGAGATAGCGATATCACTGGATTTTCTTATGCTCAAGGTTTATCCATTTTATGACCACCGAATTCCACAGAATCCCTTATAGACGGAAGCTTCCTCCAGCTTAACAGTAATGCGAGACCCGAGAAGACCATAATGATAGCTACCATTCGAGTTCCAGGCGAAAAAAACTACTCTACATCCAGGCGGATGAAGAGGGTGTATTGCTTATTAGTTATTATTTTGTCAACTTCCTTATTGACTTTGATAACTAACTAGAGTTACATATAGAATCGAATGATACTATTTTACTACAACATGTTCAATGATGGTGATTTGATGAGAAAAACTCGACGAGATAAAGGTAACATATCCCTTGGATAACCCAGTCTACAGCTGCAACGATGTCGCATGACATCTCAGAAAGGTCAGTGGCAGGGGATGGGAAGGAGCTTCGTGTTTTGTTGTTTTGTTGTTGTTTTGAACCACTATTCACCAAACACATGAGGTGTCGTATAGACCTATACTGGACTAGCGCCTGGTAACTTGTTTATTTTATGGTTAGGTAGTTGTAGTTGCACTCTTATAACATACAGCAAACCACTGTAGGAGCACTGATTTTTT